ATAGACCTTGCTGTAGGGCGCTGTAGGGAGATGGAAGACGATATATTTTCTTGGAAAAATGGACTCTTCTCAGGCTGGGGTCTCTGCCAATTTTGGGGGATGTTAAAAACAACAGAAACCTGTTCAATGTTTCCAATGCAATCGCTGAAGATGTTTAAATAACTTGGATGTTGAAATGGATTTCAACGATTCACTGTTGATTGATTTGAACTATATATATATATTTGTTGCTCAAACCAACAAAAACATGGTGGTTTGAGGCAACAAACATGGCGCGATGGGTCGTTTTCCACCTTGTGATTTTCTACGGGGGTAGATGAGCACCCATAACTTCCAGCTATTTGTTTTGATACGCATCCATTTAGAAAGCCCTTGCTACTTAAATAATGGTGGAAATATCCAACTGTGGTAAACTATGGTAAACAAATATGAACACACACACACATATATATATATATACATATACACACATGGTACAAAACCGGTACGCTTTAGGGGGGTTTAGCATATATATATGATGTATATACAGATATACAGACCTAGAGGTCAATAGTCTAGCCACATTTGGATAAATCATAGAATTGGATGATGGGAAAATTTACAGGAACGCCCTATATTTGATGGTAAAAACCATGGTTTCCTGTAGATTTTCCCTTAAACCAATCCAGTGAATTAAAGATGGAGTAGCCCGCGAAACACCGACCTTGGCACCTTGGCACCGCCAGATCAGCCATGGAAGAGCTCCGTGCTGCGGTGGCACCTTGGTGATCCCCGAAGGGACTTGGGATGATTTCATCTGCACCACCAATTTGCGATGGTTGAAACGCTATAGACAATGGATATATATATGGGTTGCGCGCAAAAAGGGCGGTTAGGGTTTTAGTCTTCAGGAGGTCGAAATTGTTTTTTTTGTTTTTTTAGTCTATCGTACAAGGCGGGCCCCAGCCTGAATGACGTTATTCACCAGTTTAGTACAAGTTTAGTACTACTAGTACTTCTAGTACAACTAGTACAAATAGTACTACTAGTACTACTAGTACTACTACTTCTACTAGTACTACTAGTACTACAAGTACTACTCGTACTATTCGTACTACTTTTACTACTAGTACTACTCGTACTACTCGTACTACTTTTACTACTAGTACTGCTAGTACTACTAGTACTACTACTTTTACTAATACTACTAGTACTACTAGTACTACTAGTACTACTAGTACTACTAGTACTGCTAGTCCTGCTAGTACTACTAGTACTACTAGTACTACTAGTACTACTAGTACTACTAGTACGACTAGTACTACTAGCACTACTAGCACTACTAGCACTACTACTTCTACTAGTACTATTACTTCTACTAGTACTATTACTTCTACTAGTACTACTATACTACTTTTACTTCTACTAGTACTACTAGTACTACTAGTACTACTAGAACCATGTCAATTATTGGCATGGTTCTGGTGGTTCTGGTCTCAATCGTAAACGAATATAATATATTTATCTATATTGTAAATCTGATCAAGTCCGTATCTTATCTTCAAGAGGATGCTTGCAAAAAAACGAATGTAACTGGTTGGATGCTAGGCAAGTGCTGCCTTTTTGGTGTTTTTGACCTGTTTCTGACCTGTTTCTGACCTTTCCCGGAGTCTTCTTCAACTTCAAAAAAATAAGCACGGGCAGCCAAACGAGAAACACTGTTAGTAATAGTCAAAGTAAAATAATTGCTAGTATTCGAAATACTAGTACTAGTGCTACTAGTACTAGTACTAGTACTAGTACTAGTACTAGTACTAGTAGTAGTAGTAGTAGTAGTAGTTGTAGTTGTAGTTGTTGTTGTTGTTATTGTTATTGTTGTTGTAGTTGTAGCAGCAGCAGCAGCAGGAGTAGTAGTAGTAGTAGTAGTAGTAGTAGCAGCAGCAGTAGTAGTAGTAGTAAGTGTAGTAGTAAGTGTAGTAGTAAGTGTAGTAGTAAGTGTAGTAGTAAGTGTAGTAGTACTACTAGTAGTAGTAGTAGTTGTTGTTGTTGTAGTTGTAGTAGTAGTTGTAGTAGTTGTAGTAGTAGTAGTAGTAGTAGTGGTAGTACCTGTTGTTGTTGTTGTAGTTGTAGTTGTAGTTGTAGTTGTAGCAGCAGTAGCAGCAGTCGGAGTAGTAGTAGTAGTAGTAGTAGTAGTAGTAGTAGCAGTAGCAGTAGCAGTAGCAGTAGCAGTAGCAGTAGCAGTAGCAGTAGCAGTAGCAGTAGCAGTAGGAGTAGTAGTAGTAGTAGTAGTATTAGTAGTAGTACTAGTAGAAGTAGTAGAAGTAGTAGAAGTAGTAGAAGTAGTAGAAGTAGTAGAAGTAGTAGAAGTAGCAATAGTAGCAATAGTAATAGTAGAAGTAGAAGTAGCAATGATAAGAGATGGATGCTAGGCAAGTGCTGCCTTTTTGGTGTTTCTGACCTGTTTCTGACCTGTTTCTGACCTTTCCCGGAGTCTTCTTCAACTTCAAAAAAATAAGCACGGGCAGCCAAACGAGAAACACTGTTAGTATTAGTCAAAGTAAAATGATTACTAGTACTCGAAATACTAGTACTAGTACTAGTACTAGTACTAGTAGTAGTAGTAGTAGTAGTAGTAGCAGCACTAGTAGGTAGTAGTAGTAGTAGTCGTAGCAGACGGACCTTTTACCGGCCCACAAATTGGGGTGGGGTGGGGTGGGGTGGGGTGTGATAGCATTCGTCACTACTGCAAGACATGATGTGAAGCTACGCTACGCATTCGTCACTACTGCAAGACATGATGTGATGCTACGCTACGCATTCGTCACTACTGCAAGACATGATGTGATGCTACGCTATGGGGGGGGGGGGGGTGGGGTGTGATAGCATTCGTCACTACTGCAAGACATGATGTGATGCTACGCTACGCATTCGTCACTACTGCAAGACATGATGGGAGGCTACTACGCTACGCATGGGGTGGGGGGGGGTGTGATAGCATTCGTCACTACTGCAAGACATGATGTGATGCTACGCTACGCATTCGTCACTACTGCAAGACATGATGGGAGGCTACTACGCTACGCATGGGGTGGGGTGGGGTGTGATAGCATTCGTCACTACTGCAAGACATGATGTGATGCTACGCTACGCATTCGTCACTACTGCAAGACATGATGGGAGGCTACGCTACGCATGGGGTGGGGTGGGGTGTTCCCACATGATGTGATGCTACGCTACGCATTCGTCACTACTGCAAGACATGATGGGAGGCTACGCTACGCATGATGGGAGGCTACGGTACGCTAGGCTACTGGAAATTGATGAAAAAGTCAATTCCAGACAGCATTCGTTCCCAAGTCCAAGGCAAACGCAATGGTTTGTTGTTCAAATACATTCGAAGTCACCAATGGAGATGGGAACACATTGACTTCGACTTGCTGACCGCCACTGGCGAAGCTGTAAGATCTCTCATGCGGTGAAGAGAAAAGACCACTTTGATCGTTCGCCGGGTTTTGAAGCACAAAACCCTGCAAGGGTGTAAGATCTCTCATGCGGTGAAGAGAAAAGACCACTTTGATCGTTCGCCGGGTTTTGAAGCACAAAACCCTGCAAGGGTTGCAAACCACACTAAAACGGATTTTTTTTTTCATGGTTGTTTCCCACATGAAATCGAGCTGGCGCCGCAGCGAAACAAGAATTTTTAAGCAATCATGGGCCGGTGCCAGGTCCGCCGGGTAGTCGTAGTAGTAGTAGTAGTAGTAGTAGTAGTAGTAGTAGTAGTAGTAGTAGTAGTAGTAGTGGTAGTAGTAGTAGTAGTGGTAGTGGTAGTAGTAGTGGTAGTGGTAGTGGTAGTGGTAGTGGTAGTAGTAGTAGTAGTAGTAGAAGTAGTAGAAGTAGTAATAGTAATAGTAGAAGTAGAAGTAGAAGTAGCAATGATAAGAGATGAGGTGGATGGATGGATGGATGCTAGGCAAGTGCTGCCTTTTTGGTGTTTCTGACCTGTTTCTGACCTTTCCCGGAGTCTTCTTCAACTTCAAAAAAATAAGCACTGGCAGTCAAACTAGGAACAATTGTAGGGAAAAGGCTGAGGCTATTAAGCCACCTTGATTTTTTTTAAAAAAAGAGGACATGTGAGAAATGAATTCGCCAAAAGGCGGGCCCCAGGCAGAACGCGAATTTCGACCGCTTTCGGGAACCAACATTTTGCAAACACCCCATATATATATAGGATGCGTATATATATATATATATAAACTATAGATGTATGAAACCCTATATATATATAAACCACCGTTTTCAAGTGGTGATTCGGATTTCGCAAGCATCCACAGTAGGATTGAAGTTTCACCTCCATTTCAGGGAAGAATTCCATGGAATTAATATGTGGATTTGATCGTGGATGTCATGGGATATACGCTCTGGCAATTAAGCACAGCTATGGAACATCACAATGTTGAAGAGGTAAATCATGGAACTAAATGGGCCATGGCTTCCATAGCTATGTTGAGTTACAGGGAAAAAACAAGTATGAAGAACTACTTGGATTCTATATGGTAACTATATGGTAACTATATGGGAACTGTATGGGAACTATATGAAGAACTACTTGGATTCTAGGGTATCCAATTTGACAAACCCGGATTCCCGCAGATGACATTGTTTACCCTCCGGTGATCAAACGTGACTGGGAAATCCAGCATTCACTTCGATGATTTTCCCATCTTCCATCGGGGATTTTCCCACCATGTTTGATGGAGGGTATCTAGGATAATTGTGGATATCAACCAACAACTTAAGAGTTCAACATGATGGAGGGTAGTGGGAATGTGATTTTATCAACGTTATATAGCTAATTCCATTCATTACCATTAACCATCATAATAAACCCAGTAACATTTGCTGGTGAATGTACCCCGAAGCTGAGTTGGTCACCCTCTGCCAACTCGCCGTCGCCCGAGTTCGTCAAGTCCCAGTTTGACCAACGGGTCGCCCCACGTGACGTGGTGGAGGCGCGAGCCGCCATGGGGCGCGGTTCATCAAGATGTTTGGGGAATTTTTGCAGATCATCAAACTATGATCAATTTCACCAAGCATGGCGTCTTTAACAGGCAAAATAGGCATACTTCGCCAAACTTGGTCTATTTTGTCAGATTTCGCATATTTTTTTGGTATGTGTCTAAAGCGGTGCACGAACGATGGGTCTGTTTCAGCCGGAAATCCAACGGGTTGGTTTAGGTGACGGATCAAACATGCCAACCATGGCCACTTTTTTGCCAATGTGATGGGTGAGGCGGCGAATCCAAACTACTTGTTGGGTTTCAGGTATTGCTGAGTTTCTATGCCTAGGTGCGTTGCGCAGATGGACAAAAAAGTGGCGGAAAATTTCACAGCAGCACCGCCTGGGTGGCTCCACCTGGTCACCAGGTGTGCGGCCGAAATGCCTCCATTGCCTACAGGCTCTCACCATGGGTCCAGGTTCATTGTGCCTGATGAGTTTGGGAACTCTGCTCTAGCGATGGTGTGTATAGGTCTCGATGACATAGATGTGTAATGATTTGTACATGTTGGCATGTTATATATATATATAAATTATACATATATATATATATATTATACATTATATATTATATATATATTATATTATATATATTATATTATATATATATATTATATTATATATATTATATTATATATATATATTATATTATATATATACAATATACACGTGCAATAATTAGACACACAACCTGGATATTGACAGACGTACATGAGACGCATGTAAAGGCATATCCTACATGTGCACAGGTGTATATCATACAAAGGTGTACGAATGCGTGAGTATGTCCGTGACAGTATTGTGCTCCTGCTGTTCTTCTGCAGAATCGGAAGAACTTACCTACCTCTTTTGACATTCATTGTTTTGTTGGACGCTCACTTTATCCCGAATTCTTCGTAGCTGAAAAACCAGACCCTTGCTTTGGATTTTGTCCCTAGCACTTTTGACACATCTTTTTTGACGTCTTGCACATAGCTTATTTTTTCCAACCTCCATGTGACCAAAAGCTGCTATCCAACCAAGATTTCTCGTGTTATTTATATATATATACACACACACACATTTAGAACTTGAGTTCGACTCCGGAAGTTGTTTCAGGCTATATCACTTGCTTCTGGAGTATGGAAGCCCAGGAATTTCAGGGCAGCTGGTGGTTTCTGTCACATGCGACCCGCAGCTTCGGTTTCAGCTTTCTGAGGAGAACTCAGACGTTTGGGGTCTTCATTTTGGGACATACCTGGTCCTGAAAGTTCAGACTCTCTCAGTCATTGAAGCCAATAGGAAGGACACCAGATCACTGTACAGATGAGTCCTTTGGCTTCATCTGAAACACAGCACCATTGGGTAAATGTCCCTTCTCTCCAGTGTGTTGCCATCTGGATTGATATCTGGCTACCTAAGAAGATATAGACACTGGGAGATCCCAACATTGAGAAATATCATGACATATCTATCCCGAAATATCTATCCCGAAATATCTATCCAAATGTTGATGATTTCCCCTTTTTGAAGGTTCCTTTCTCCGCCATCCGTTGCTGAGAACATCCGATGAGGCCTCGAAAGGAAGGTCGTGATCGCATCGCGAAGGCGCCTTTTGGGTTGGCCTGTGGGGAAAGCGGACGAAAGGGCATAATTTGAGTCATTGAGGTGGGCCGGTGAAGGAGGACACATGAATTTTCACCTCTGTTGATATAGGGTTGGTGAATTTCTGAAAAAAATCACCTGACACATTTACGTAAAATACTTGGATTCCCTTCTAGCTCACACTATCTGTGACCATCTGACGACAACTGAGGGATAGCTCAGGCTGGCAAGAGAGCAGGCAAGACGCAATTGGCAAAGTTAACCACATTTATTGTTCATAGATTCACCATTTGATGACAAGATCTAAAAACATCTCCATCAATGTATATCACGAACATAGCATGTCTCCATTTTCTACATGTATATATACATATATATATATATAATATACGTCAGTCCATATCCCAGAAATAGGTGATGGAAATTCGAGAGGACATATGAATATTCGGAGTGTTAAGATGTTCCCTTAAATCCCATTGTAGGCCATTATAAGCCATTAGAATACCACTATTTGATCTCATTACAATCCCATTAGAAGCCCATTTGAATATATTCCCAGTATATATCTATATCTATATCTTTATCTATCTCTATCTATATATATATATAATTGTTCCCATATTTTCCCATGAATATTCCCATTTCTATGAAACATATGAAGATGAAGATCTTCCCTCCCAGGGACGTGCCTTGGACCGCGAGATGCATCTCATGTCGGAGCACTGGCCATGCCGACCTGTTGGCTTCAGAAAGGCATTCACAGGGGTTTTTACGGTGGTTAATGGATGTTAATGGTTATGAGGAATGGTTAGAATATGGGTATATAATCATAAAATCGTGGTCAGCAGTGGTCAACAGCACAGTGGTTAATAGCAATTAATGGTGTTAAATATGTGGGTGATATATGGCAAATACGGTTTTAACATGGACATATGGGTCAATGACAATCAATAAATGGGAATGATCAACAAAAACGGGGTAGCCATGATTTTTAGCCATGATAAAGTAATTGCTCTTACAATCCCCCTTTATGTATCGTGTGTATGCATACATACAACATACATTCCCACACGGTCGCTCGGTGCATTTCCGCTTCGTGAATCGCTGACCAGCCGCACTCAGCCACCACTCCGAGCGAGCAGAGGCTGGAGAGATATGGAGATCTGGGGCCATTTTTTCCCGGGTGGTGTGACTTACCCGGCCTGGTAATGACTAACAGTTTGCTATTGAAAATGGCCATTGAAATAGTGAGTTTTCCCAGTAAACATGGTGATTTTCCATAGTTTTTTGTATGTTTACCAGATGGTAAGAAGTTGCTTCTCTTTGGTAAACATGGTGAGTGATTCCCTCAGTCGTCATCCCATTTGTATCTTGGTGCAATCATTCATCAGCTTTTCTGGGGATTCCACCAACAGCTCGGATGGGTGAACCCCAGCCCCCGGTGGTCGCGAGGCAAGATGGGTGCCGTCCTTTCGGTCTGTGGCAACGTTTCCACCGCCTTGGTGCTCTTGACCTCCGACGCGCCTGGGAAGTTCCGGAAAATGGTGGGAAAAATGGTGATTTCATGGGGATTTAATGGGATTTCATGATGATTTAGTGGGAGTTGATGGTGACTTAATGGGAATGAAGAGAATTTAATGCAATTTAAAGCGCTTTAATGGGATTTACTGTACTGGGATTCAATGCGGATATTTGCTGGGATGCCCTTGGGTAATCAAACATGGTTGGACTGGGAAATTTCCGAACTAGCCATGGAGGTTATAGCTGGGAAATTCATTGAAATGGATAATTTTCTGGGTAGCGATGCTTGCTTACCGATATGAAGCAAAAAAAAACGGTTGCCAGTTGCCAGGGGAAATCGTTCCCAGCTGGCTTTCAGGTTTGTTGAATTTCGTGTAATTTGCCCAGTATGAATACAACCTGCAAAGGGATGGAACCGTCCATTGATCTTTTCTATCTTGGATGAGACCCCACTGATCGACAATGACTACGGGATTCCACATTCACATGCACATTGAAAACTCACATTGAAATCTCAATCGACATTCATCATCACATTTGCAATTACATTTACATAGACATTCACATTCACATTAGCCTTCTTCGCCATCACCATCGTCCATCGTCCATCGTCCATCGTCCATCGTCCATCGTCCATCGTTCATCGTCCATCGTCCATCGTCCATCGTCCATCGCCATCGTCCATCGTCCACCGCCGCCACCACCACCACCACCATCAGCACCACCAGCATCAGCATCATCATCATCACCACCACCATCATCATCATCATCAGCATCAGCATCAGCATCACCATCAGCAGCATCAGCACCAGCATCAGCATCAGCATCGGCATCACAATCACTGACCATGACCAGGACCATCATCCTCGTCGCCATCATCTGCCAGCCCCATCCGTTGCGACCGGCATCGCTATTTACCGAGGCCTTGTGTTCCCTGGTGCAGACAGCCTCGCATTGCTTGGTGGATTTGGTCGATTTCATCTGCGGAAGTGGCAAGAACACCGTGAGGTTCGGCGCCCACCTTCTGGCGCTCGACATGTACAACTTTTCCACACAATAGATTCTCGAGGGAACATGGAAAAATATCCTACAAACAATAGGAAAATCATAGGAACATATGGGAAAAATATTGCACATCCTCTATAAATGGAGGTCTTAATGGGAACATCATCTATACATGATGGATTTCCCATTGTCATGTTTGATTACCGGAGAGTATCATCATTCATATTCTCCAGTACTCTGGCAGACTGGAATTTGTTTGCAGAATCACAGCTTCCCGATGCTACGGTGAAATCCTGGCAATCGGATTTAATGAATCAGCAAACATGATGCCTCTCTGGACCTTTGAATGACTGCAAATGCATATAGGGAGTCCCAAAATAGATCGAACAGTTTATTTAAGGAACCCATATGAGCCCATTAAGAGCATTTCGATTTTTCTAGAGCAAGATACCATGTGTCCCCATGTTGAATGCTTATCTCCCAATGATTGTTGGTGAAATTCGCCAATTCTTTAAGCCCCTGAAAACTACTGTAACATGGGCCCCCTCTTTTTACGCAGTTTGGAAGATGATTTCCGATTGGACATGGCAATTTTGGGGTTCCATCTGAGTTTTTCTGGCGTAGTAATGGGTTTGTTTCAGAGGCATCAACAAATTTGCCGCTTCATCATTTTCGTTTTAAACTGGCATATTTCTTTAATCCCCTCAGTTTTGGACAGCCCCCAAATCGGGGGTTTCCTCGCTGCGTAGGAAGAAGATCGCCTGGCATGAGCAGCGCTACAGCAATGCACCCATCTATGCAAATGACAAGCCCAGCAAGGGCGCCAGCCTAGGCGATTTGGATGTGGAGTGTCTGGGCCTTTTGTGGAGATTTTCATGGGGTTTTGAAGATAGGGTATGCCCCCATAGATTCACTTCATTTCAGGGTTGATCGTTTTCAATTTCGGGGTACCTTTTCTGGAGAAACCCAGTTCATCTCGTGCCTGATTTTGGTTTGTCCCCATTGTTCATTACAAAATCTTCGTGTTTGATGGTTAGTTAGTTCCGTCCCAATCTTTGATGTTCAATTTTTACCTTCAGATGGTAGGTGGAGATGATGCCCCAAGTTTGAATTGGGCCGTTTCACCACTCCTGAAACATGAAAAAGATACAGTAGGGGGTCCTGCAAACCCAAGGACAGTGAGTTGTTCCTCTACCGAACTGGACCAATGATTGGCTTTGCACCGGGGATTTCCAAGATTCGGACGTCCCGCATCACCACCATAATCCACCATCCCCCCTGGCTTCCTGGGTCTAACGAAGTCAAAGCTTCAAGGCCACCCCAGTCACCCAGTCACCCCTTTCCCCATCCTTGACGGCCACCGATGCCAAGGAAAACCATGGCGCAGAGCAAGTTTCCCATCGCCCCCGAAAAGCTGATCCAGCGAGCCAAAGAGGTGCTTGCCAGCGAGTTCGGCACAGCGCCCTGGCAAGGGTAGTTTCTTGTGTTGGCCGGAAAAACGTGGGGAAACCTAGGGTAAACTGTGGACACAGATGGAAAAGTGGGGGCATTCTCTAACACACCTTCGACCAACAATGTAGAGTTTAAAGGAACGTTTTGGAGGCTGAACATGATGGGTTAATGGGAGCCCCAGCTTTTGCAAACAACCATCAGGCTACGGATCGAGACAAAAACATCTTTGAAAGGGCAAGTAGTTCCCATCGCTTCTCCCCTTTGTGTGTTCATTGGCACCCCACATCCCTTTAAAAAAAGAATTGCATATACATCACGACTTTTGTGGTCTCTACCCCCGTCTTCAAGTCCAGATCGAATATCTGCATTCATGCCATAGTCCCAGAAAAAAATGGTAAAATGGGGGTTTCAGGGCGTGTATGTTGGTATGTTGCTTGTTATGATTTTGTGTTGGGGTTCAATGTTTCATCCTTGGTTTTGATGATTTTTCAGGTGGGGTTTTGGGGGTCATTTTGATGCTAAAGTGATGTGTCAATGTTTGGTTCAGATGAGGGTAGGATTTGTTTAGGCTGTTGGGGTTTGTGTTTTGGTTCAGATGAGGGAGATACTGTGGATAGTGTACTTGTGGTTGTCGTTTTTTATTGTCAAGGTATGTCTTGTCTTTTTTTGGGTATGATTTTATTGTGTTTCCTTATCATCAGTTTCAAGACAGAACATTCAACTTGATATCTTTCAAAAGGTTCCATGTCTTTCAACATCTTTCATTTTTTATTCTCTCATTCTCGTCTTTTTTGGTGGCGTTTTTTCTTGGTTGTGTTTTGATTTGAACGTCTTTCGCTTCGCCTCATTTTTTGCGGACTTCTTCATGGACTTTCTGGATTTCGTCGGGGGCGCCCAGATGAGATGTGCGCGCTGTTTCGTTTGCATGGAAGCATCACTTTTGAGGACATATTGCGTTTCTTGAGGCACTATGTACACTCTATGTACACAAAGTGGCATTACAGTAACCACTATTAATCACTATTATAACCACTATTAATCACTATTGCACCCACTATTAATCACTATTATAACCACTATTAATCACTATTATAACCACTATTAATCACTATTATGACCACTATTAATCACTATTGCACCCACTATTAATCACTATTATAACCACTATTAATCACTATTATAACCACTATTAATCACTATTATAACCACTATTAATCACTTTTATAACCACTATTAATCACTATTGCACCCACTATTAATCACTATTATAAGCAGACAGGCTCACAAATGCTCACAAGATAAGATGAGTTCTACTTGCGGCATGTGTTGCACTATGAACAAGTCAACGCATCAAGAAATCGTAAAGTGCTTGAGCTCCAGCACAGTCCCAGTTCTGGAGATTTCCGCCATGGGTATGTCGCGTTGCCTCATTGCCCGATGTTGTGGTTTTCGGCTTCTCATGTCAGGCCGACGAAACCACCGTTGCTTCTCAAACAACGCTCCAGAGAAGGAGCCGACCACGAAACAGCAGATTGGAAAGTGGTTGGTTGGTGGTGGTGGCTCGTTGGCCATCGTGACCTTTGGATGGGATATGTGGCGGCATCGTCAAGAACAAGAACGGCATCGTCAAGAACAAGAACGGCATCGTCAAGAACAAGAACGGCATCGTCAAGAACAAGAGCGAGTGAAGAATATCATTGTGAATGCCTCTTTCAAAGCACGCGAGCCACGTGTCAAGATTGAACGGAAGATAATCAAGGCGTCCAAGCACCACCTTTTTTTTGTTGTGTTTGCCTGTGTGTTTCTTGACAGAAGGGATTTGTTATTGAGATGGTGTTATTCCATGTCATATTGGCATTTTGAATTTGATGCACTATGCTCACTATGCACTGTAGCAGGACGAACTGCACCAGTTGTTGGACTTGGACGACCCCCGCCCAATCCTCATCTGGGGGAATCATGAAGTGGGCAAGAGCACCATCCTTTGGAAAGTCTTGCAGGAGAAGCAGTGGAACAATGGAGTGCTCCACATCAAGCTCATGCAGAACAACGACTTGGCCAAGGACGCATTGAGGAGCAGGTTGGCAGTGCTCCATGAAGAGGAGATGATGCGTGGCTTGAGAGATGCCAAACAAGAAATGGGACGGCAACCCATCATCATCCTTGAAGTTCCTCGTGGTGTCTTTAATCCAGATGTGATGAGCAGCGTCTCCGCCTTTGCAAAGTCATGGGGCTTTGATGACGAGGTTGCCAAAGTGCTGGTGATGGTCAGTTCTGCAGTGTCAGCCATGGCTTTTGACGCAGACGGTCGTGAGCGCCGATTCTTCGTTCCACCACTGACGAGTGAAGAACTCTCGCAGAAGGAGGCCATAATGAAGAGCTTCAGTTCATGTGGTAATTGTTCAGTCACCTTCAATCACTTTAGTGCTTTTTGTTGGTGCTACTTCTGGCATGGGTTGGGATGTTTGCAGATGGACGTCTCCTTGTCAGGTTGAGGAATTCCTACGTCATCATGGCGGTGAAGAGGCCTCCAAGCACAAGAGCGACATGATTCAACTCACAGGTGGCAACATCGGTGTAATGGAGGACAAGGGTCATGAAACCATGGGACAACAACCCGAAACATCAACGAACCGTGAAACCTTGAAACTTGCCCACATCTCCTGCAGGACGTGGCGCAAAATGCCAAAGAGACATCATGGGAAGAAGCAAAGTCCAAACGGCTTGCGGTGCAAAGAAGTCAGGTCCAGAACTTCTTGGGCATTGACAACCAAGGTGGCTTTGGCCCAGAAAAGGTGAGGATGGCACGCACCTTGGCCAAGGCCGTGGCGCATAGCTCCTTCGAGCAGTGTGTTGATGCTGAGAGGTTCAGGCAGCACTTCACGCCTGCGGACGTGGCGAGAGCGGTGCGGAACCGAAGCGCTCATTGCATCTATGTGGATGCGCGGGCAGAGGAGCGACGCTACTGCGCAGTTTCTCGCACAGTGCATGACCTTTTGAAGAAGGTCTGAAGGCGGAAGTGGCAGTGGCGTGTGAATGAGAGTGCTTGGTTCCTTGTAGGACTTTTGGATTGCATGGATGGTGCAATCCGCATTGTGTCCAACCAGACTGGCAAAACACAGAAAGGTGATGATTTTTATTGGGGTTGCACCTACCCTTCAATCCGGGATGCACTCTATCTGCACTGCACAATTGACCGGTGGGACAGACCGCACAGTGTTCCAAGACTGGATGAGCAAAAGTGAAATGAAATGGCAGAGATTGAAGGTTGGTTTGTTTCGCAGTTGTTGGATTGGCACTCTCAAATGTAGCATTCTTCAGGCCCAGAAGTTTGGTGATGATATCAACCACTTTTGACTGCTTTACAGCATCCAATTTCATCCAATTGCCCTTTTCCACTTGCCGAATGCGTCCCACGCCAAGGTTGTGAAGACATCAGGGACACCATCTATTAGCAGGTCAATCCCAGCATTTGTCATAATGCAAGATTTTGGAAAAAAGCCTTGAAGCAATGAACTATTGAAACAGCCTTCAAAACCTGATTGTTTCGAGGAAAATCCAACCAAATATTTGCTGGCATGACATTTCCAAGCAGTCTCCAGCACTTGACGTTGGGAGCATCCAACGGGTTGGCCTCATTTGCGAACACAGAACACCCCAAAGATACTTAAAGACAAGTCGCCTTATGTAATTAAGATTTGATATGCCCTGCTATTTAGTAGTTGACGGAAAGAAGCAAGAAATGGATGAGGACATCTTTGACCAAATGGTTGAAGCACTCAATCCAGAAACAGTCCAAGAACCCCCAATCCAAGCATCCACCAGATGGAAACCCGATGGAACTTATGACAGAAAACCATTAGACCCCGAATACTTTTCCAAATGCTACCAAAAGAAATTATCAACACCCTTCAAGTGTGCCGACTGCGGACGCACCATTTCGTCCAAATCCAATGTATCAAAACATCGTCAAACCAACATTTGTATTAACAGCAGATGTCATTGATGAACTGTTGAACTCAAACCTTCTCAATAACAAATGATGTTGTTGAGAACGTTTTATTCGCTACTTATTCCTGTTTGTTTGACACAATTTTTCGACCCTTGATGTATCGGAACATAATATTGAGACATTACACGCTTACAAAAAGGACACTCAATCTTTTCAAGGTGTTTCGCTAATATTTTGTCTCTATGTTTGTAGTAGTATTCCCGCGACGCCTCTTTTCTCTCTTCTTCCGTCCTATGCGGAACGACCTTATTGACACAATCAGTGTTTTTGATGTAGTGTCCTTCTCGTCTCAATAGTTCTTCCTTACAATTACACGGGTAGTTCTCAATCAATTCAATCTTACAATTTTCAATACCGAACTCATCAAAGATATCAAACACTGAAATCTTGCTGTTTGTCTTTCCTGTCTTATAGTTGTTGTATTTTGCTCTATGCCTCTCAATTCTTTTACTCAAACTTTCGCAAGTGCTCCCTACATAGGCTTTGTTGTATCCAATGTCAGTTATTTTGTAAATCTTTCCGTTTTCATACCTGTTCATACCTATATTTACTATAAGTTGCCATTTCTTTAAACCAGTTTTTCAAAACCAACCGTGAGGTTCTCGCGTTGGACTTCAACCCAGAACCAAATTACCTGAAAACTGAACGAGACCCGAAAACTACTTAAAGAAATGGCACCTTATATATTAAGGAGAGAATGGGAGAGGGTGTAAGGTTAAAAAGTGAAATTTTATCTCAAAACTTAATCCAACAACAATCCAATCCACCGCAACATCCTCAACAAAGAATGGAAACTGAAAAACTACTTAAAGAAACACCATCTAATAATAATATAGAATATAATATAATGGAACGCTCAGACCAGATTGTTTTAGATTACATTTTATCAAGTGAGACAGGCGAGATATTGAAACAGAATGGACGGGAACTTAAGAAACTGAAGACAGGTGATAAGACCTACAACTTTGAAAGAAACAAACCCATCACGAACAGATTGAAAACCAAGTTCAACA